GAATCATGCCACAATGAAAGCAAGTGCTGGCATATTGATTCGAGATCATGAAGGCTGTTGCATGCATGGTTTTGCTTTGAGCATTAGAAATCAGTCCAGCTTTATGGCAAAACTTTGGGGGTGTCGTGAAGGTTTGCGCATGGCATATGATCTTGGAATCACCTATTTGATCCTAGAAATGGATTCTCTTCCAATAGTTCACATGCTTTAGGCACAGAAAAGGGTGGAAGGTTTAGCTTGGACTTTGTGTTCTGACATTCTACATCTTCTAAGTACGTTTGTAGAGTATCATGTGTAGCATACTCTTAGGGAGGGCAACTTTACAACAAATTGTATGGCTGCTATTGGCCAAAACTTCTCTCATGGTATCACTCCAGTGCCTCCCATTGGAATTGACAATATTCTTAATAGGGATGCCTTAGGGACTTTGTTCCTTCGGTCTTAGTTTTTTGCTCTTTGTTTTTTCTAATCTTATGTACCAAAAAAAAAAAAAAAGAAAAATTTAGTGGATCATGTTATAAAAGAATTTTCCCAAAAATAAAAGTGTAAAACAAATGGGAGGTCAAAGGTTCAAATATACAAAAATTTCTTAATAAAAATCAAGAGATAATATAATAATGTAATATCATATAAAATATTATCTTATGCATTAATTAAGATATGTATTTAATAATTTATAAAATATAAAAGATTCTAAAAAAATGTAGGAAGTGAAAAAACTGAAATTGATAATAATAGATAATAAACAAAAGTAGTAGGTCAAAAAGTAACATTGTCAATGATAGTTGCTATATTGTTTCAATATTAATTTTAAAGATAATGATGAAGGTAAGAAAAACTTAAATATAAAAAATTGCGTGTAGTGAAAAAGCCGAAAATGATAGTAATAGATGATGGATGAAAGTGGGTAACATTGTAAGTAATAACTAACAATAAAAATATTACTGTAATAGCTTGGAAAGCTTGGGTAAGGAATGATGTAATTCTATAATTTTATGTGATTTTATAATTATATATATATATATATATGTGTGTGAATTTAGTTTTCTATTTAATAAATAAATTTAAGTTAATATTTTAAAATAATTTTATTATAAAAAATATTATAAAAATAGAAAAAAAAACTCAGTGCAATGCTTGGCCTTTGAAATTTAGTTAAAGATATATTTGGTTTGGTAAATTTTATTAATTTATAATTTTTTTTAAATATCTAATTGGGATGTTTTAAAACATCAACTTATAAATTAATTTTAAATTAATATTAACTATTTCAATTGATTATTAATTAACCATTATAATTATTAATTTTTTATAACAATTAAACTAAATATAGCGTAAGTAAGTGTACTCGATTTTCTTTCTCATCTACACAAGTCCCAATATTTAAAAAGCCAAAAAAAAAAAAGAAGTTAATATAAAGTAATTAGACATTAAAATAACTACTTATTTTCAATTGTCTTCTTAATTCCAATTTTACATTAGCTGTCAGGTGTTTGACATTTTAGGGGTTCAATTCTAATCAACGTTTTTAAAGTTAATTAATATTAACACACTTAAATTTTTATTGGTCAATTGGAGTTGCTTTATGCTTAAAAAGTTTATCTAATGTGCAGTGCAGACACATGTTTAATGTACAATTATTTCACTTTTTTATATTTCTTCTGCTCTAATTTAGGTTTTGTTTATTATGTTATGGTTTTGAGACTTTAATTTTGATTTATAGAAATTTAGAAACTCTATAATAAAAAATAGTTCTATAAATTAATTAAATTTGAAATTTTGAGTATTTGATTTAAAATTTTATACCTAATAAATTGGTAGTTTTAATTTTTAATTTTAGTTTTAATTATTCATTTTAATCATTTGAATTATAAAAATTAAAATAAAAAACTCAAAACTACAATTAAAAACTCAAAATCACAATTATATTAAATGGAGTTCGTAGTTGTTTCAATTTTTATTTTAATAAGATATTAAATGTTAATATTTCAATTTTACTTTTATTTTTAAAAAATAAAAATGTTTGAAGATTTTTTATTTACTAATTATAAATAAGGATAAAAAATTTTAAAAAAAATCAAATTATCATAACAAATGATTTTTTTATTAACTTTTTAATATTTAGTAATTACATTGGGTTTTAAAATTAAATTCTTTTCACTCAGATTTACAAGTAGTTGATATAACAAAGAAATTTTTTAATAATATTAAATGAATAACATAAAATTACTAGATTAAATCAGAGGGAGGAACATTTATTCATCTCACTACATGCCACGTTTTAAAATTGACATTGATTCATCGAAAAAAATTGCAAAATTTGAAAAATGTTTTTCTTTTAAGAAAAAAGGTTAAATCCCCAATTCAGTCCCTCAACTTTCATTTTTGAACTAAAACTACCCTCAAACTTCAAAAAGTACTAAAAAAATCCTTGAACTTCAATTTTTGGGACCAATTTCGTCCTTCCGTCGACGAAAATGACATATAGCACGTTAAGTTGCCACAGAATCAATTCTTGTTTGAAATCTTTAATTACGTGGAAAATAACTAGTCCACATCATTTTAATTAATTTATATATTAAAAAAATTTTAATTCCTTAAAGATCCCATCTTCATCTTCCATCACCTCTCGTCTCTCTCTATTCTCAGATGTCTCCTCATCTTGCAACCCAATCAGCACCGATCATCCCTCATTACTCCGGTCATCCCTCATTACTCCGGTCATCCCTCATTGCTCCGATCATCTATTACCACTCCAATCATCATCTACTTCTTCCCTAAACCTCTTCCCCAAACCTCCTCCCTAATAGAACTCAATAAATCTGATTCAAAAAATCAATTCCTCTACAAATGTATACCAGATTTGCAAAGAAAAATGGAAAAAACACAACATTCCTTCAATCAACATCAACAGTAACTAAATCTGGAAATTCAAGCAATTAGAAGCCACACAAAACTCTAAATCCCATTCAAGCATGACTGCAAGCCAACAAAGAAACAGAATAAAAAAACCCAGGCGTTGGGTTCGGAACCCAGCGCCTAGGTTTGAGGAACGTTTGAACCAAGGCACCTGGGTTCGATGGAACCCGCGCCTGGGTTCGAAGGAACCCAGCACGCTTGGTGCCTCGAACCGCGCCTGGGTTCAAGGAACCCAGGCATTGGTGCTGGGTTCTTTTGAACCCAGTAGGGGAGGGGAAGGAGAAAAGGAAAGAGAAGGAGAAAAAAAAAGGAAAGGAAAGAAAAAAAAATTATTTATTAAATTATATTTTTGGTGTCAAGTCACAATATTTTTATAATTAAAAATGTCACATCACTCATTTTATTTTCAGGTAATATTTAATATTAATAAAAATTGAATTTGTTAACGAGAAATGTTGCCATGTCAGCACTTAACTGACGGAAGGATAAAATTGGTTCCAAAAATTAAAGTTTAAGGATGTTTTTAGTACTTTTTGAAGTTTGAGGGTAAATTTAGTCCAAAAATAAAAGTTGAGGGACTGAATCGGGGATATAACCAAGAAAAAAACCCTAATGGCCTTTATTATTGCCGGCCTAAAGTGTGATTCCATTCTCTTTGGGTCCCTCTCTTATTAGGGTTCTAGTCTCAGATGGTCAGATTTGTCTTCGACCTCTGGGGTTTTTACTGAGAAGTGAGAGAACCATTAAGAGGAACCAGCTTCCTAATTTCTCTTCCTCTGCACTTCAAATAATCTTTCCTAAACCCTAATTCAAGAGACCCACAATGAAGGTGAAAGTGATTTCTCGTTCCACCGATGAGTTTACTCGAGAACGAAGCCAAGATCTTCAGGTTTCACGCAAGCTTGAATTTTCCATTGGTTTAGCAAGCTATGTCCTTTTCACCCATTTTCTGAGTATTTAACTTCCTTCTCCTTTTTGCCTCTTCATTTTTCATCAGAGGGTGTTTCGCAATTACGACCCCAATCTTCGAACCCAAGAGAAAGCCGTTGAGTACGTTCGTGCCCTTAACGCCGCCAAATTGGACAAGGTATCGCCAGCATTTCTATATTTAAATACAATGCTATTTATTGGGTTTGTGGTTAACGAATTCTGATTTTGTTGGGCATATTCGAATCAAATCCAGGTCTCTTCTTTGTTCTAGTTTATATTTATGAAGTTTATATACCATCCAAAAACTGTTTTTCAGTCCGAACTGCAGCTCTCCTCCATCCAACCATCATATTTTGCAGTTGGGTGCAGTCTTGATTGCAAAACAGGGCCAAATTACTATACAGATTATAATTTAGCCCTTTGCCATGCAAACTTCTTGGTTTTCTCATCTGGGTGTATGTTTAGATTTTTGCTAGGCCCTTTATTGGAGCTATGGATGGACATAGGGATTCTATTTCTTGTATGGCAAAGAACCCAAATTACTTGAAAGGAATTTTTTCTGGTTCCATGGATGGAGGTAAGTGTTTTTTATTTTTTTATTTTTTTGTGACGTTCACATGGATATCTTGGAATATGTTTTTCCTTTGCATGCATTGTTTTTTCCATTACTATTTATTGGAGCAATGGATGGACATATGGATTCTGGCTGAAGTTTGCCACTGTTTTGGTTGCTGAGAAAGCTTATTAAACATAAATAAACTGAAATCTTGTTACAGAATCATGATGTATGCCGCTGAGGAAAAAAAAGTTGTCAGCTTTTCCAGTTAGTTGTGTTAGGCAACTTCTATTTTTCTTGTTTTCCAACAGTTGGTTTCTTTGAATCTGTTGCGGAGAAATAGCTGTAATTCATTTTTGGCCTTATTAATTGTCAGGCTCGTGGTTATGATACATGGAAAGTATACTTTAAATTTAGATATGTGTAAAGCTTCTAATGCTTGTCATCTTATGGTTTTTGCAGATGTTCGTCTATGGGATATAGCTTCCAGGTAATGATCCTCTGTGCTGTGCTAGATGTCCTAATAAAATATAGTCAGCTAAATCACTCTCAGTTTCATAAGCCTTCTTGTTATTCTTATTCAGTATATAATCTAATAATAACTTCAAGCTCCAAAACAGGGCTGTTTTGGAACCTTTTATTTGTTTTTTCTTCCATTCTGCAGAATGGTGGACAACTAATCTAGGAAGAAGTCTGAACCCTAAATATTGCCCAAATTTGCAAAGCTAATAGAGTTATTTTGATCTTCTGATGATGCACTTGATGTTGATATAGGTTTTGTTACATTGTTTTGCAATACAGTTGTCCTTTCTTTTAGTTGTTTGGAATAAATTGTAGTGAATTTTGTAATTTAAGCATGTCAAGTAAATGTACTGATTATGCTTAAATGCTGGTAATGCACAGTGATTGGAAACCCCAAGGAATCTGCACCTCAAGAGGGGATTATACATATCAGGCACTTTGAGGCATAATGATAGATAATAATTACTAGATCCATTTTTTAATTAAAATTTTGTTCAGTTACAGGTTTTTGTTTTCCTCTGTTGTTGTAGTACTTGATGCATTATGATTTACATTTATGCTTGAAATTTTCAAATGAAAAGGCGAACAGTTTGTCAGTTTCCTGGTCACCAAGGTCCTGTACGAGGTTTGACAGCATCAACTGATGGAGGCATACTAGTCTCATGTGGAACTGATTGCACGTATGGCACATGTTAACTCTTACACTTGGATGTAGATTTTTAAAAGTTTACTGTTACTAAGAAGAAAGTAAGGCGCATGTACATCCAAATTCTGAGAATTGGGCTATTTTGGTTTCAGTGTCAGGCTCTGGAATGTACCTATTGCCAGTATTGTGGATTCAGATGATTCATCTGAAAATTCTGCAAAGGTATGCCTCTTTCCAATTAAATTTAGTTCTCCCCTCTTTTTTAATTGTCTCTGTTGGTGCATAAAATCTTTGACCTCATCAAATTGCAATTTATATGTGTCAGCCACTGGCGGTTTATGTTTGGAAAAATGCTTTTTGGTAAGTATTGTGACTTTGTCACAAAATATGTTTAATTTTTCTGCTCAAGTTCTTTTATCATTTTCTTTTTATTTTTTTGGGTGAACCCTAATCTTTTCTTGTTTTCAGGGCTGTTGATCACCAATGTGATGGTGATCTCTTTGCCACTGGTGGTGCACAAGTAGATATATGGAATCACAATAGGTTTTCATCCAAACTTGTGATTTCTTTGTTTCAAGTAGGTGCAAATTATTCCACTTATTTAGTGACAATGTACCTCCTCCTATTAGGTCTCAACCGATGAACAGTTTTGAATGGGGGACAGACACATCTATATCTGTTCGATTTAATCCTGGAGAACCAAATATTTTGGCATCCTCCTCCAGGTTTGCGTGCTCAATTTCAAGATGAATTGTTTGGTTTCTTATTGGATTTACTTTCTTGTTTGTCCACCCAACTCTGCATGATCTCAACGGTTTGCTTGTCCTATGAAAAAGCTTTTTCTTTTTTCCAGGCAGTGTCTACTTATGTTGCATAAATTATATGCAACTTCAAATTCATTCATTATTTTTTGTTTTTGTAGCGATCGCAGCATAACAATATATGATTTACGAATGTCATCCCCAGCAAGAAAAGTTATCATGAGGGTAACGTTTCACTCATAAACCGTTGAGTTATAGAAACATAGAGAGAGTTCTATGTTATCACTTTCTAATATTTATGCTGTTATTCTCAAGCCATATTTCTTGGGAGTACTACCTCTGCTTATAATACCAAAAAAAATAAAAAATAAAAAAAAGAAACCTCTGCTTAATGGTCATTTATTCATGCTTCTATAAGCCAATTTGTTCCTCTTTTGTAAGAGCATCTGGCTTTTCCTGAAATCAACTTCTGGAGAGCTTAGACAAAGCTTCACATGGCTTCTCAACAAGATAGTGGATTTGTTTTTCCCTGTGTCTTTTGATTCTTTGTTTCTGCCACTGTTTTAATTAATTTGGCTTGTCTTCTTGGCCACAGACAAAAACCAATTCTATTGCTTGGAATCCAATGGAGCCAATAAACTTCACAGCTGTAAGTACATGAATCAAACTTATTTTCTCTGTGATATTTATCGTAGTTCTCTCATGCTAGGATTTTGTTTTAAAATGGGTTTCTGTCTGATAATTGATACTTATGGTTGTACCCTGCCGACCTCATACATGCATTTTGCTGATTCACTCAGAAGGATGCATGTTAAAAGAAACACTGTAACTTGAAAATTTTGCTCTGTTCTGATCTTGTCTCCACCTTGTAGTTTATATCATTACTTAATCCTCGTCCAATAACCAATACTCATTGTTGTAACCAACCAATCTCATACATGCATTTGCATGTTCACCAAAAAGTGATGCCTGTGCTTGTCAAAAGAAACACCATAACTTGAAACTTCTTCTCTATTTTGGTCTGGTCTCCACCTCATAACTTTTATCACTACTTGATTAATCAGTCCTTATCAACAGAGAGTAGAAAATAACATGGTCAACAAAACTGACTGGATGTATCCTTAATATTCTACTCATATGAGCATTTGAAAGATATCGTTGGATTGCATGTCATCTGATGTGGTCAAAATGTGATATGCTGACATTTGGGCATATTAGATTAGATAGTGGTGCAGGTGGTGGGATCTCAGTAGAGAATATGCTTCAAACCATAATGCTTTCCCTAGTTTCCTATTATGCTTAAAGTAATTTACCTTGTTAATTTTTTAATTTTGCATGTAGGATCACCATTCTACCTACAGACCACTAAGTATGTTTTTCATATTTGTAGGCAAATGAAGATGGCAATTGCTATAGTTATGATACTCGAAAACTGGATGAAGCCAAGTGTGTGCACCGAGGACATGTTTCTGCTGTGTAAGAGACTGTTATCATTTGGGCTGAAGCTGTCATTTTATGACATAGAGAAATCATCTGACCCCTTTTTCCCCCTTTTCCAGGATGGATATTGATTATTCACCAACTGGTCGAGAATTTGTTACTGGATCTTATGATAGAACCGTGAGCTGTTTTGTTTTTTTTATATTCCATCTGTTGATTATGTTTTTAATGTATAGTAGTGTCTAACAAACATTTCCCTTGCAGATTAGGATATTCCAATATAATGGTGGTCACAGCAGGGAAATCTACCATACAAAGAGAATGCAAAGGTTTACTTCTAGTATGTTTGGTTTGAGAGAACTGAAGGGGAGGGGAGGGATGAGTTTTTTAGCTAATCAGATTATAATGTTTTCAACTATTGCAATTTGATTGATCAAAAAAATCCATCCCTCTCCTCCCTCCTCTTTGTTTCCCTCAAACCAAACATACCCTGACAGATATTTTTTTTTTTGTTGCCCCATATATGCATGGCAAGGCTTTTATATTTTACCTTGTGTCGCTTTTATTTTTTACTGGCAAACAGTATTATATTTAATTAATGAATAAACCTCAATCATTCATACTAGAGAGATGAATGGTCTAGATTTTGTGTAAGTGATGTGTGTAAGAATTCTGTGTTAATGGATCTTTACTCTTAATTAATAATTTATGTTTTCTGATTACTCTCTCTCTCTCTCTCTCCTATTTAGGATATTCTGTGCGTTATTCAGCTGCGATGGAAGTTATATCATTTCAGGGAGTGATGACACTAACCTCAGACTTTGGAAGGCTAAAGCATCCGAACAATTGGGAGTTGTAAGATTCTTTAACTTGACTTGCTGAGTTGTTTCATTGTAACCTGCCCATCTCGGTTATGTCTCCTGCCATGCATGAGTGAAGAAATTTGTTTGAAATGGCTAATTACCCAAAGTATATAGCCATTTAGGCTGCAAACTTGAGGCAATTGTAATTTTTTTGAAGATAGGCAATGTGTTGAGGTCATGGTATTGGAGATAAAAGCTTTTGTTGGATATTATTGGTTCGGTTTGGTTATCAGCTGATTGCTATAGCTTAAGTCAATTTACATTATATCAGCTCAACTAAATCATACTCTTTTATCTTTTGCAGCTTCTTCCGAGGGAAAAGAAGAAACATGAATATAATGAGGCTCTCAAGAACCGCTACAAGTACCTTCATGAAGTCAAGCGCATTTTAAGGTAAAGTCAGATTTCCATAATTTCTATGCTAAAATTATTCAGTTCTACTTGTTGAGGAAAAATGGCTTGTGTAAGTTTCTATTTCTCATTCTCGTATGATATATGATGGTGGCTGTACAGGCATAGGCACTTGCCAAAACCAATTTTCAAGGCGTGGAACCTCATACAAACCATGGGTGAAGCAGAGAGAAGGAAGCAAGCGAGACGAAAAGCCCACAGTGCGCCTGGAAGCATTGTCACTGAGCGAATACGTAAAAGAAGGATCATCAAAGAAGTTGAGTGAGTTGTGCACGAGCACAGCTTCTGCCACAAAGGTGTTGTGTATTTCTGCAATTGTCAGCTTGGAACATCTATGGACAGTTTCCTCGGCAGCTCTTTCACTGTACCTGCTGACTATTCCCCGAGCACAACTGGCACCCTCCAATAGATGTTGATTGAGTTGAGAAAGCAAAACCCTATTCTTGTAACAGTTTTGACGAGTTCAAACAAGATTCGTAATTTCTTTCATATGGTACATCAATGGATGAAGAGAAAGTGAACTAAAGTTTTGGCCACACAAGTTATCCAAAAGAGCTTTAAAATTTTCTCAGATGGGTTGCAAACTAATGGTTACATAAATGATATATTTATAATGCTACATTATAATAGAGTAAGAATTTATTTACATATGAATTTTGTACATTATGTTTATATAAAACATCATTTATATCTTTATTTTTTAATGATCGAAATATATTTACATTTATTAAAATAATTATTTTTTATTTAAAAAATTATGATAAATTTTAATTATTAAAAATTAAAAAATAAATTATTAAAATTGTATAACTACAATATATAAATAAATCTGATTAATACCAAAAAAAACAATATATAAATAAAACTCGTTCTTGTTATAATATTGTGTGATATTATATGTTTATAAATATTACTTGTTATTATACAATTAACTCTTTAACTGAAAATTCATGTGATTATACATTCGTTTAATAAAATATTATAATTGTAAAGTAGTGCAGTTGCTGTAAACATTAATAACAATCTGTGGACCGCACAACACATTTGTGTCAATGAAACTCTAGACTGAAGGAAGAAATTAAGATTAGATTAAGCATTCCTATTAGCCATCTTTGCTGGAATCGCAGTAAAATGAATGTATGAAGCAACTGTTGTTTGACAAAACAAAATGTCTTGGAGGTTCCATTTTTAGGCATTTAGTATAAAACGCACAACATTGAATATCTAAAACATATTTTTTTTCCCCTGCAGTTCCACGCCCAACATCTTAATGAAAGTCATTTCCTGCTTTGCAGCTACAATAAAAATACAGCATCCATAATAAGCTCCAGATTTTAAATTACATTACTAAGATCTTCTCTTCCGATCATCTTCCTCATCATCATCAGAATCACCACTCTCACGGAATCGTGGATTCTTCTCCTGTTGGATCAAAATATAGTTTGTTTAATGCAATGTCAAGAAATAGTAAAAGATGTCAGTGCAAAGCAAAAAAAATATGGGAATTTTGACCTAGAATGCCAATGTGCAGCACCATCACAAAAAGATGGCAAAATTTTCCATTTTTTCAATCTTTTTTTAAAGTTCTTTTCTTTTTTTTTTCCCTTACTTTCCTAGATGACATTTTACCCTGAAACCTACTACTCTGACATCAAGTGAGCTCTAAACAATTGACGCCAACACACAGGAAAAGAAGATATAACGATAACTAAGATTCTACTTAAGAAACAAACTATCATATTGCTGCAGAGCATGCAGCTAAACTAGCAGAAAATCACAAAAGCAAAAAGGTATGAACGCAGCAGTTTCTCCAAGAAGCCAATAATGGAAAGAATTAAGTTCCATAAAGTGAATTGTAGAAATGATATAAATCAGGTTATTCAACATCACCGGTCTGGAATCTTGATCAGAGTTTCTCCTGGATTCATGATCTGCTGTTCTCTTTGAGGACTCATATGCATGGCGATCATCATCTCGGTGTCGCTTTCGGGGGTAATCTGTATTCAGAAGAAACAATCTCAATTAGTTCTCGTGTCTGTATAATGAAGGAATTGCTTGAACCCAAAGAAAATCCACAAGCCAAGAATCTGATATGCTATTTTAAGGAAAGTACCTCTACCATGACGATGAGAACCCCCATGGCTGTGATTTCCACCATGTCTACCATCTGAAAGACCAAAGAATCAGATTTGTTGGGGGAATCATCAAATAGTTGCATCAAAGGGCATAGAAACACCAGACAAATATAAACAGACTGTTGAAACCAGTTCTGGCAATACATATTTGTTTGACATAAATCAGCAGGGGAAACTATGAGGAAACAGGTAGGGAGACATGGCAAACTGTAGCTTAAACTATTTTTACTAAATAAACTTACTTGCTGGATTGAACAAATTAGGAGATGAAAGCTCAGTTATCCCCTTCAAACAAACAGCAACAACAGATACTTGCTTCATGGAATATTTCTAATGAGTAACAAAAACAGGAGTAATCGCACACACCATCACTAGCTACAGCGAGGCACTAACTTCTAGAAGGCCTCTCAAGATACAAAATCAAAAGGCTGGCAATATAGAATAATTTAATCTCTAAAGATGTTCTAACCAAGCTAGACTGAAAATAGGCTACAGCTACCAATTTTGGCACCAAGTCATGCACAAAGTCTTTCAGGACAATACTAAAAGGAAAAGATCATTATTGTGTATGTTCTTTTATCAACATAGTAATATTTAGGCTAAATAATATCCTTAAGGTTTACCTAGAAGCACACAGAGTAGCACTAAAAAACTGATGTGGTTAAGTCCTGAATAATCTAAACATATTATAGCATGGGATCAAATTTGCACTACTGTGGTTTAACCCACACAAAAATGCATCTAGAAGGATTTTGTGAGCTAAAATATATATAACTTTCCACTGAGAAAGCAGAGATCTCATATTTAAAACAAAATCCATCAGAAACTTACAGTGAGGCACAACTGATGGAAATGAGCTCAATGACCCAGCACCATAATCCACAAGCTGCCTTTGTGCTTCCAACTCACGTTGAACTAATTTTCCATAGCCACCTCTGCGTATAATATGTTAAGTATACTAAAACAGCAAATCTCCAGCAGAATTATTCAGAACTACTAGAGTAACTTCACCATCTAGGAAATTGCCCCAGAAGTGCAGTAAAATTTCAGAAGAAGAAAATGAAACAGACAGTATTGGAGCTTGCTCCCAGACTGAAGATTTATAACCCTATATCTCAAAACATATGACCCAACCAATATATGAAAACAAAAAAGCAGGAAATTGAGCCCAGTATAAGCATATCAAGTACTGATTAGGCACCCTGTTTATACATTTTTTATGGCCTTGCACCTATCCACACTGAAAACAAACAATTCTCACCTCTTAATATGGTTCAAGGGAAAAAACAATTAACCAACCCATGATGTAATATTTTGAACCTGCCCATGATGCAAAGCCTATAGACTAGAAGAAACTTTGTGTATCTATGAGTTATATCTCGAGACCAAATTCAAGCCCAAGGAACTTGATCTTGAGCTATAATGTTGTCTTGGATGAATTAACTTGTAGCCTAATACCAGCAACCAAACAACACTGATGAGATTGAAGCCATTAGGCCCCATTAGGTTATAACATGCTACTTGCTAGACATCAGCGACTTCCCTAATGTTTGTCAAATGCATAAAAAAATGAGAAGTTGCCAGCTTGTTGGGAATTTAGATGCTTGTTTCCAAAGACCAATAAGCATCAACAACAAAGCTGAAAGGATATCAGGATCATAATCGGTTCGATATTCATCGCGCACCTGTTCAAATATGAAAAAGCTAAGTTAATACACACAAGGTTAGGCCTTCAGCAAAATATTGCAAGCAGAGCAACTCACCTGTCCACCACTTTTACCACGACCCCATTGCCTTCCTTCTTGGAATCCCCAATCAAAATCTACACGAATAGGTCGATCGTCAAGAATTGTCCCACTTATATATTTGACAGCATCCTCAGTGTCCTCCCTAGAGTAGTATCTGATAGAGACATAATCATATACTAATTACTTAAAGCTTTAATTAAGATTCAATTGCTGCCATTAATGACTTGGCATCCGTCATCTCCAAAGTACATAAAAATAACAATTCAAACCAAAGAGAAAAAAATGGGTTGACAACTAAAAGATTCAAGATGTCTATAACAATCAACTTAGGGTATGTTTGGTTCGTGCAAAATGGAGGGAGGGGGATAGAAAATTTCTAGCCCAATCAAATTAAGATTTTAGCCCAATGTTTTAATTTGATCAGCTAAAAAATTTCCCCTCCCCTTCCCTCCCCTCCGATTCACTTTCCCTCAAACCAAACATACCCTTAAAGACAGAGCATTACATGGTGGTCCCATGAACTTACAGAACAGTAGAGGAACAGTTTGTGACAGAAGAATTGTGATATCAAAACCTCAAGCCCTTCAGTAGGATGAGGTGAGTTAGGGGACAGGTCCAAGATGACTAAGGCAAGCACGATACTTGAGTAGAAACATTATTAAATTATTTACATAAATGACCTGGGCAGCCCTTCTTGTAAATAATAGTATATATCAAGCAATTCTTCCCTTAAAAAGATGAATTTAATTGATAATGTTTTGTAAAGGTTGAAATCCAATTATGAAGAGAACAAATAGACAACCCTCCAAATAAGCATAGTGTTACATAGCAGAACGGCTGTCAACAAAAAGGAAGACTTTAAACAGAAAAATCTCTAGTGGAGAAGTGCAGGCCCATGTACTTATCACTCTATGCTTCTTACTCATGACTAGTATTTACCATTACATTTTTGCATCTTCATGAAACACAATACATAGACTGAATAAACACATAATGAACCTCACGTATGCAGCGTTAATTCAAGCAAAACCAGCTTCTGCTTAAAGCAAAACCATATTCAACAAGACCTAAAGATGACATCTAGTATGGGGAAAAGGGTGCAACAAAAACTCACTGGACAAAGCAAAAGCCACAAGGGGTTTTGTTGTTCTTATCCAAACCCATGATTATCTTCTTAATTTCTCCAGCACGCGAGAAAAGCTCATAGACTTGTTCCTCCGTTGTGTAAAACGACATGTTTCCAAGATACACAGTCGTAGAGGTCTTGAGTGCAAGTTCAAATTCTTCCTGTGTCCCATTAAACCTCCTATCCCGATACGCTGAAAGCTTGGAGGGATCCTAAAACGACCATACAAAAGAAATTAATAAATCAATGCAGAATCAATCTTCTTCAAAGCAATAATCGACTAAATAATGAAAAGATGCAAACTTTCTTTTACTCGACAAATCACAATGACATCCCAGTTGAAATAACTGCATCAAAACCCTAGTTTTGAGCTCAAATTGTTTCTTGAAGACAAAGGGATCAAATTGAAGAGAAATTAACGCCGAGAAAAAGCAAAAAGAATGCAAAAGATGATAAATTTAGAATGGGAATCATCTTCTTTGCTTTGATTTGAATGAATATCGTTAATTGGAGTACAGAAGGAAGCGGGAAATACCTTGAAGAGAGAAGCCATTGGAAAATAGAGAGCTGAAGGTGAAGGTGCTTCTTTGTCATGCGGCGGACTAAATATACCTCGGTAATTTTTTTTTAGGGGTTTATGAGTCATAATATGAAACGTTTGGGGACTCCATCGTTAATTTAGACATCTTGAAAGGGTCTTTGAAAATTGCCCAAATACTCCATTAGGGTTTTAGTCCATCGTTTTCAGACCTGACTCACCACTAAACCCTCAGTGTCTCAACGGCTGCATACTGATGGCATCGCTTGCCGCCGCCAGATCAATTTTCCGCTCGAGTTCTGCTCGGAGTGCCGCCGCTCGACTCGCCCCTCAAGCTAAACCCAAGGCTGCTCCCTCCGCATTTCGTGCCTCCTCCAGCACTCCTCTCTCCAACCGCACTTTCAGGTCTCTATTGATGACTAAGATTCCTATTGTCCTTTCGTTGAGATATGAATTCCCATAGAGGTTTTTCTTTTGGTTCTGTTTCAGGTGTCCGTGTCCAGTTGAAACGAGTTTTTGCGTGGAATCTTTGCTTCCGTACCATACGGCGACTGCTTCTGCTTTAATGACTTCGATGCTCTCCATTTGTCGCCGTAGCTATGGTTGGCTTCCTGAAGGTACTATCACTGAGCTTTTTGATTTTCTGTTACTTGTTTGGTGATAATGGGTCTTGATGCGAATCAAATTTGTTATAGAACTCAAATACTGTGATCAATTTCCCAAAGCAATTCTTTTGCTAGTTGGATTTCTGCCTGTTTGAGCTTCTTCTTTGCTTGTTTGATCTGAGCTTATATTTAATGGATTCAGATGCTGCTTCTGTGAGATTGATGTAGGAAGTTGGTTTGGTTTTGTTAATGGAAGCATGTTTGTAATGCGTTCTTGTTTTGTTTCCTTTTGTTTTTATCAAGTGCTAGTCTTCTTCTTGTAGGCTGGATAACCATTGAGCTTTCATTCTTGAAATTGGTAGCTAGCAACTTTCTAGGACCTGCCATCCACCCCTTAAAAAAAGGCAGGACAAATTGTCCCTCCAAATCATCAGTTAAGACAAATCACCTACTATTTAACTTATGACATCATCAAATGTCAGCATTCTGTTAAAGACAGTGGCAAACAAATTCCTAACATGTGATGATGTCACATATTAAATAATAGGTGATTTGTCTTAATCAATCATTTGGAGGGGCAATTTGTCCCTTTCTTTCTTTTTTTTTTGGGGCAGATCTGGCCCTGCCCCTCTATTTGGGGTTTCGGCCTTCTTTTCTTCCTTTTGATATATAAGAGTAACTGTCTGTCTGCATGTTGGGTTAATGCTGTCAATCCATATGAATGAAGCCAATTAATTTAGGGAAACACTTGTATGTGGCTCTTTACAATTGTTGTAACGAATTTATGAACTTCTTTTTGCTAATGGCAGGCCTTTTAGTTAAGTAATACATTTGAACTTTTAAGAGTGAGTTGACTCCAAAAGGTGTATGCTCCTCTTTTTATGTTGTAGGCCAAGAAAGGAAAAGATCAAGAAGCAAAGACGCATGTCTTGGATTCGTTTATGTTTTCAAGATTTTAAATTAACAAATGACATTGTCCATGGTCTAGGCAATCTGATTATCATTTCAAAGTAGTGCTTGAGCATACTGTAAATTGACGGAATTTTGCAATATATATGTATATTTCATGGAAGTTTGGTCACATATTTAATATCAGTGCGTCACTAAGGAAAATATTGTCATTTATGAGCATGATTTGATTTCCTTATCCCTTCATCAAACACCTATGAGAAATATAGGTCTAGTCATAATAGTTTTCCCTGGGTCAACTTTCTCTTTGATGCCATTACTGAGAATTGCTCAGACCGTGTTGGACTAGCATAATCCAATATCTAGCCTTCTGTATTGTAAAGTTATAAGGTTCTTTTCTTTCACAATTTGAATTATGATGTTCATTCTAACTTTAGATGATTGATTTAAATCTTTCAGTTGATTGAGATTTGTTTAGTAATGAGATGGATGCCATCTTCACTGATAATTTTAAATTTCTATTCAATCAGCTTGCAATGATGATGCGTGATGGCTGTTCAGAGGGTTGGAGAATGTTTAATGTAGATGATTCTGCTTTTGAAAACCATAGCATAGTTATAGGTTTTCCTTGAGAAGATGAGCAAATTTCCTTAGCTTTTAAAACTAGACAGACCAGTAGACTTTGTTGTTCTCTTTATGTCTTAAATATTATGTCTCTATTTGTCCATTATCCATAGTCAAGGCAGTCTGTTATCATCTTGAACTTGTGATTGAACAGTGTAAATTGAGTGAATTTTGCGAAAAATATATTTCTTGGAAGTTTCTTTATAATCCTTTGAGAAATTAAATGCAATTATTTGAGAATTATATGCATTTCATTGATGTTTGTTGAATGCAATGTCTATTAAGTTTCTTCACATGATTACTATGTGTGCTTCACTAGGGAGAAGATTGTCATTTACCCACGCATGATTTATCCCTTGAACAAACACACAAGAAAAAAGTATATTCAATATCTTGTCATAATAGTTGTGCCTTGGTTAACTTTCTATTTGATGCCATTTCTAAGAATTTCTTAGACCATGTTGAACAATTATAAACCAGTCAATGTGATGAGGAACAAGAAGAAGCTATTCAACAGTTATTTAGATTATTTAGAATTCTTAACTAATTATTTTTATTCAAGTGTAGTTATCATTAGTTTTCCTACTTTTATTAGGATTAGGTCTTTGATCAAGAGTCTTAAGTCCTAGTTAAATTAGAAATTTTAAATTTCAAGTTATAGACTAATTAGAATAGGAGTTCTAGTAGGAGTCTTAGTAGTTTCTATATAAATATGCATGTAGTTTCTGTCATTATACAGTTAATAATATTCAGAATTTTCCAGCAAGTTTTGCTCTTGATTGTGTGACACAATCTTGGTTGTGTGATGCAACTAGCCTTAGGTGTGATGTTTAAGGGTTTTATCCTCTTTAGGTGTGATGCCTAAAGAAACTAGGTGTGACTCCTAGTCTTTTCTATCATTCTCATTGTTTATATTTGCCCAAACAGCCTCTAAATCCCCAAGCCCACCATATCCCCTAACCTGTCCTGCATCACAATGTCAAGCTTTCTGTGTTAGAAAGCTATAAAGTACTTTTGATTCACAATGTGAATTGGATGCTCATTCTATAGTTGATTTAAATCTTTCAGTGAATTGAGATTTGTTTAGTAATAGGATCAATGTCAACACCAAGGGATTTTACTGGTAATTTTATATTTCTGTTCAATCAGCTTGCAATGATGATGCATGATGACTGTTCAGAGGATTCAAGAATGTTTAATGTTGACATTCTGCTTGTTAAGGCCATACAATAGATAACCTAGAGGTGGTTGGGCTGGTGAGAAGATGAGTGAATTTCCTAAGCTTTCAAACCTACATGGACTTGTAGACCTTTTTGTTGCTTTAGGTCTTAAATATTATGTCTCTATATGTCTATTTTAATGCTTTTTATAGCTAATAGACTTAGGTGCTGGACGAATTGCAATCTGCAGATCATTGACAAAGTTTGCTACATTTTTCTTTTGTTTGTGTTTTTACGTGATGATGTTAATAAGATTAATAGGTATGTTATATTTACACTAATATTTTGTATTTAATCAGCTTGCAATGATGATAATTGATGTGATGATTGTCAAACGGGTTGTGGAGAAGTTTGTTCAAAAGTTGCTGCATTTTAAAGAGAATGATGATTCCTGATGACAGCCAACAAAAAAGACAATGATGCCTGATAAGTTAGGAGTTTCCAATAAGACATCTGCTGGAGGATTCTTTTGAATGTTATACTTTTCTGTATCCAATTTATCCAATTTCATCTTACTTTAGCTGAAGGAACTAAAAGTAGAATGGACCATGTATTTCTGATTAGTATCACAAGCCAGCTTAGCTATTTTTCTCTACAACCAGGAATTAAGTTAAGCAGTGCTTAGTTTTATGTTATATCACAGTCGTAATTGTGGGTTCTTTTGGTTAGATTAGTAATGAGTAGTTTGTTCTCGAGTAACATCGGTGTAGGTTGATTTTCATTTTGATTGTCGTTCCTCTAGTCAAAAAAGTAATTGTACGTGGTACTTAACAGGCAAATTTGGTACTTGTTTTTGTGAGAATACCTATAACATGGAAAATAGACATTACTTTGGCTTCAGTACTATCTTGTGTATGTACTTCTCTTTTGCCCTTCATAGAAAAGCCAGAAGCTGCATCTTTCTCGTATTTCTGACTCGTGTTTTTTTTTTTTTTTTTTTTTTTTTGTTTTAGGACAGTAATATCCTCTAAGTCATATGACACTTCCAGCTTGGATAAGAGCCACCCATCTTGACCGTCCTTTCATTTCAAACTTGTTGATGCTTTTTGATTGACTTGGTAAACTTAATGATTCATATACTTATTTTCTTAGTCAAAATAGTTCCACAAACCATATGGTGCTCCGAAAGCTTGGCTTGGGGGCGTTAAACTAGCCTCTTTTGCTTAGTTGTAATTTTCTTTTCTTTTCTTTTTTTTTTCAATTGTATTTTTTGTTTGAGAGAAATTAATGAGAGGGTAAGGAAATAAAAGGATGTACATCCCTTCCCCTATTTGGATAAGTTAAAAGAATTGAGGGAATTAAAAGCGAAAAGTAAAATAAAGGACTTCCCTCTTCTCTCTTCCTCTTTGATTTTTTTGTCAACTAAATAAAGTAATTTTCTTCTCCCCTCCCCCTAAACCAACCATATCTTAAAGTGTGTTTGGTTTCTTCCTAAACTTTGATCCTTACAGGGTTATTTATGTATTTTTATATTTTAATATTATAATAAAATAAGGGTAAAATTGATATTTTGAACCTTTAATTTTTTACACAATTCTCAACAAGTAAATTTTTATCTCACTTTTTGAGAAAAAAGGTTTTTTCTCAACTTTCTTTGCGTAAAATTCATTTAACAATTTTTTTATCGAGCTTTTTTTGTTAATTTCTTACTAAATATATAAAAGTTAAAACTCAATAAAATTCTGATAAAACTTCATTACAAAAACTTTTTATTTTTTTACACTGCAAGGAAAACATTCACATTAATATTAGCTTCTTACCAAACAAGCTTTAAATATGCTGCTTGAATATTTCTTATGCAAGAAATGTTCAATTATGTATATATATATATATATAATTGTAAAACATGCCAAGAATGATCAAATTTACAAGTTTAATAGTAAAAGCTTTACTCTAGACATTACTAATTCTTTAAAAGGTTTGTCTAACCTATAGGCACCAACATAAAAGAGTGCATTAATTACATTTTTCTACATTTAATCTCTATAGAAAATTACAGAATTTGATCTTGTTTTTATCATTAATACTGCATGTATATTTTTATCATTAATACTACATGTATATTTTAATTCAACAATTGATAAAATTAAAGTTATATTTTAATTTAAATTAATTGCAAAAAGGTGTCATAAATACATCTTAGAAATCCCCATCTTTAAAAGTTGAAAATAACTTTCAGAAAAGTTATTAGGAAAGGGTGTTTGATTCACCTTTAATTAAAGAGGTTAAAAGGTTTTGAAAATTAAGGGCTTGTTTGGTTAGAGCTAATTTTACTTTTGTAAGAGTATTTATGCATTAGATAGCGATTGATAAATACTCTAATTTAACAAATTATACAACATATTTATTAAAAAAAATTTATTTTTTAATATAAAATTAAAAATAGATAAATTTAAAAATATAGTCATGCATACATGATGAATTGGTTGAAGTACTGTACTTATATTATATTTTAATAGTTAAATCAAAATGAGTGTTAGGAAATGTGTTAAACTAAGTGTCTACTAATCATTTTTCTTACGCATTTTTATAGAGAAGAGATCCATTTATATATAAATCTTATACATTATATTTATACAAAATTTTAATGATTCATCTCTATAATTTTAATAGTTGAGATTTATTATGATTTTTTATATAAAAAAAGATAATTTATCTTTAATAAATATGATAATAAATAAATAAATCTCAACTATTGAAAGTAGAAAAATAAATTATCAAGATTTTTTATAAGTGTGATATATAAAATTTGTATATAAATAGATCCCAACTCATTATTATACATTAATATTACAACAAAAAAAGAGTAATAACATTTTTATCTTTTATTTTCCTTGACATAATTCACAATTACTAAACATTTCCTCTCATATTTTTTGAAAGAAAAAATTTCTCTCTAACTTTTACTACATGAAACCCAGGTAGACAATTTTTCTACCAACTTTTTTATTATCAAATTTTTACCAAACAAAAAAAAAAAACAATTTAATAAAATTCCAACAAAACTTCACCTAATATTTTCTAAATTTCTATACATTACCTTCTCAATAAAAACATTTTCAAGGTTGCAGAACCTCGCTACTTGTGAAGCAGGTCCTTCAGTTAATGGGATGTTGGGATGAAAGTTTAGAACCGGGGGGGGGGGGGATGGAAGCGAGGGAAAGAGAGAAGGTAAAGGAGAGGGAAGAATTAGAATTAGTTTCGTTTTAATTGATTATTTGATTAGTAAGACATGCAAATAAAATTAATTTTTTTGTATATTTAATAATAAATTATATAAGATGGGATAATTTTTTTTTTAAATCTCTCTTTACTTAGCTCGGTTCAAATGAAATATAATATAATATTAAATAAATAAATACATATAATATTATAAATAAATCTATATATTATATTATAATATTATAATATTATGTAATATTGTAACCATAATATAAAAAATAATTATTTATAAATTTTGAAACTAACCACTAATTTAGGTACTTTCATTGTATGGTACTCCATTGGATTTTAGGATATATTTGGATAAAAATTAGTAAAGGAAAGTGAAGGTAAGGGAAGAGAGGGGAAGAGAAGGAGAGTAAAGGATTAGTATTAATTTTCTTTGAATAGATTAAACAAAAGGAAGGGTGAGAAAGATTATATTTTTTATTTAATTAGATAAATTAAAAAATAATTATAAAATTAATTAAAATTGTATTAATTTATATATTCAAATTAAAATTACAATAAAACTTTAATAATATTTAAAAAAAAATAAAAAAAAATAAAAATAATAAAAAAAAATAAATGGAATCCTTCCAAATCTCTCAACCTCCCTCTAAATTAGGGAATTAAAATTAAGGAATTTAGAGGGAGTCTACTTCCCCACCATCTATCTGCCCTTCTCCTTTCATCCTCCTCCCTTGATGTCTCTATCTAAATAAGAGAGGGCAGAAACCTCACCTGCACTCTCCTTCCCTTCCCTCTGAATTCCCTTAATCCAAAGAAAGGCTTATAATTTTTTTAGATAAGAATTAGTAAAGGAAAAGGAAGAGAGGGGGAAGGGAAGAGAAGAGAAAGGAAGGAAAGAAAAGAGTGAATGTTAATCTTGTTTGGATAAATGAAAATAGAAGTGAGGAAAGAAAAGAAAAATATTTTTATTTAATTAAATAATTTAAAGAAAAATAAAATATTTAAAATTTATTAAGTAAAACAATAATTAAAATAAAATATTTTTATATATTTACTTTTTAAAAATATTAAATATATAAATTAAATTTTGGTTAAATGCTAAATTTAGTCCCTCAACTCTATAAAATATATATTTTTTATCTCTCAACAAATTTTTACATTTTTTTTAATCTCTCAATGATAAAAAATGCAATTTGTTAGTACTTCTATCAATTTAAACGTTAACTCGAACACGTGATATTTTATAATATTATTTTTATTATACGGTGAGGAGAACTTTAAAATGTGCTGAAGTAGACAAGAAATAATGCCAAGAATAAGAAAACCTCTTGATTTTCTTTCTTTCTTTCTTTTTCTTCCTCCTAGTTGCTACTCGGTTCGGTCCTCTCAAATCTTTTTCTTCCCTTCTTTCTTTATCTTTCTTCCTCCTGCTTGCTACTGGGTTTGGTCTTCTCGAATCATCTTCTTCCCTTCTTTCTTTCCCTTTCTTCTTCCTGCTTGTTGTTGGGTTTGGTCCTCTTGAATCATCTTCTTCCCTTATTTCTTTCTTTTTCTTCCTCTTGCTTGTTGTTGGATTCAATACTGAACCCAATAGAGCTGCGATCCACCGAACCCAGCTACTGGGTTTGATGAAACCCAAATCTGCTCTGAATTCCGTCAAACCCAGATCTGCTTTGGGGTTCCTGGAAGCCAGCTGTGCTGGGTTTGACGGAACCCAGAGCAAATCTAGGTTCCGCTGAACCCAGAGCAAATCTGGGTTCGACAGGCCTTCTCTTTTCCCTGACCCTAATACAAATCTTCTTCCCAGTCTTTTGCTCACTCTTAAACCCTAGATAATTTCCTCTCGATTTCATCCATTTTTCATTGCTCAATCCCAACTTCATCGCATACCTCAGAATCATTGGTCTCTGCTTATGCAATGGTGGCCTGCAAATGCCGAAAGGAAATCTCCCTTTCCTTCTCTATGAAAGTGATCTGCTTTGTGATTTTCTACATTCTAGATTTAGAATCGCTGTGCTGGGCCATTTTGAAGTTTTGTTAGAACTCTCTGGAAAATCTGTAATTCGGTACTGGAGGTTTCAAAATCTGTTTCTGTTTGTGATTCAACAACTTGGCAATCTGTGTTTTGATTAATAAATGTCTCTGTTCTATGTTCTCCATGCTTTTTGTTTCACGCAACAAGGTAATACTGTTTCGTGCGTAAGGTTCCTGTTTCAATCAGTGTTTTGAAATAAGTATTGTATTAATGAGTGTTTGGTTGCCGAGAAAATTATCATGGTTGTTAAGAAAATTTGTGGAGAAAATTGTGATTTAGCTAGAAATTAATGGGAATTTTAATATTGATTAAAATAAATACTTACAATTTAATGAATGAATTAAAAGGTGGGGTCCATAGTCGGATAAGTGAAATATGAGATGGCTTAAATTTTTTATCTACATAAGCATCTTCTTCTAATTTAATTTGTGAAGTCATTAAAAAAAAATAATAACATGTGGATGAAATTAACGGTTAAATTGACAAAAAAGATTAACGTTATGAATTTTTTAGAATTGAGGTATTAAAAAAATATAAAAATTTATTGAGAGAACAAAAATATATATCTTTATAAAATTGAGAGAACAAATTTAATATTTAACCTTATATTTTTCTTAATCCTTTTAATTTGAAAGGATGGAGATCAGATGAGTAAAAGGGATTATCAATTTATTACCCTCCGTCTCCCCCCCTCTCTAAAAAATTAAAAGAAAAACGTAGTAAGCAAGATATCTACCCCTCCCTCTCTCCCTATTCCCCCTCCAAATACACCGATCCAAACAGGGGCTTAGCGTGCCTCATAAACCCTGCCAAATTTCCGCTTCTCCATCATAAATCTCATCATCGCTTTGAATCCAATGGCATCCATTTCCGCCGCTAGATCGATTCTCCGATCGAGCGGCACCCGGAGTGCTGCCGCTCGGCTAGACTCCCAAATCAAATCCAAGGCAGCTCCTTCCGCATTTCGTGCTACCTCCTCCAGGACTCCTCTCGCCAGCCGTACCTTCAGGTTTCTACTTTTTACTGTTCTCTCTAAACAAGCGTCATTGTTCCGCATACCCATGAACAAGTTCCACAACTTTATTGTTTCTTTGTTTTTGCTTCATCTTCAGTTAAACTCACTTTTGTAATATGATATCCTTGTGATACGAATTCTGATAGAGGGTCTTCTTTTGTGTCTGTTGTAGGTGTCCTGTTGAATCCAGTTTTTGTTTGGAGCCCATGCTGCCGTACCACACGGTTACTGCTTCAGCTTTGATGACTTCGATGCTCTCAATTTCTAGCCGCAGCTCCGCTTGGCTTCCTGAAGGTATTATCACTTTAAATCTTTTAGATTGTTTGCTGCTTTTTTTTTTATGATTGCTGGTCTCAATAGAACTCAATTATTCATGGATTTCCTAAAGTAATCGCCTTTTCAAGACAAACTTTTGTCCTTTGAGCTCCATGTTTGCTGGTTTGACCTTATTCTTAATGGATTCAGCAAAATGCTGCCATAGTGTTGGCATTTGAAAAAATTCCAAAGGCTTGATATAGATGCGATTAATGCAGGAACTGGATTCTGTAACATATTTGTCATGTGTGTGCTTGTTCTGTTTCCTTGTGTTTCATCATGTCGTAGCTGTTTGCCTGTAGGCCATCTAACCAATGGGTTTTCATTCTTGAAATAGGTATCGAGTAACATTCTGGTACCTCCCTTGGTGTTCTTTTCTTCCTCTCGATTTTTTGGTTAGTTAGTGTCTTCTGGCTGTTGGGTTAATGATGTCAAATTGAAATGAAATCAATTAAATCATGAAATAACTTACATAACACTTTTATAATAGCACTTTTATAGTGGTAGTTAGCAATAAGGAATGATGAGATTAATTAAATTAAGTGCAAAACAATTTCCCTCTTATTACCCTTTAATGTCCAATGCCAAGATTTTGTCTTTCCAAAGTGTGTCAATATGCCATTCACTTATTCTTTTAGAATTTATGATAAAAGGGTGAATAGTCCTCTTTCTGTATTGCAGGCTGAGAGAATACTAGATGGAGATCAAGAAGCAAAATGGAATGACTTGGATTTGTATTGTTTTGTTTTCAAGCTTTTAAATTAAGGAATAGCAATATCCATAAACTAGGCAGCATGGTTGTCTGTTTCATAGTAGTGATTAAGCACAATGTAAATTGAGAGTATTTTGCAAAAATTATATTTCTTGGAAATTCTTAGTAATCCATTAAGAAATTAGATGCAGTTATTTGAGAAATATATGTGTTTCATGGTATTAGTTAAATGATTTATCAAGTTCCTAGTATTCATGCCACATAAGTGAACGGATTGGCACTTACCCGAAGTGGAGTTCCACGCTTGATCAAACATCCAAGGAAAGTATTTATTCAGTATCTATTTGTAGTAGTTTATCCTTTAGGTCAACTTTCTATCTGAGGCCAATAATTGAGATTGCTCAGGCCATGTTGAACAAATATTAACGACTATCAAACCATCCATATTTAAAAGTTCTGAAGTTCTTTTGCTTCACATTGTCAACTTGGAGTACATTCCAGCATAGATGGTTGATTTAAATATTTCAGTTGATTAAGACTTATTTAAGAATAGGTCTTGATGTCATCACTAAGGGAGCTTACTGATAGTTTTTATTTAATCAGCTTGCAATGATGATGTGTGAAGTGTAATGACTATTTCAGTGGATTTGGTCAAGTTTACTGTAGACAGTTCTGCTTCCTAAGACACTGACAGGAGATAACCTAAAGATTTTCATTGAGATGATGAGAAGACAAGTGAATTTCATTAGCTTTCAAACCTACAGGAGCAATAAAATTTGTTGTTCTCTTTGGGAATAAGAGATTTTATCACTATCAATCCATTCCATGCTTTCACATTATTAGCTACAGAATAAATTGCAGTCTGCAGATCATTGACAAGGTTTTTCTTACCATTTTCTGCAAGTGATTAAAATTCAAGTACTAATATCTTGTGCTTAATCAGCTTACGACGACCCCTGATGATGCATTATGAATGTCAAACAACTTGCGGAGAAGTTTGTTCAAAAGTTCTTGGACAAAGCCCTTTTGAATGTTGATTCATTTCTGAATCCGATTATTGGTTTACTTCTGTCACTTTAGCTGAAGGAATGTGAAAAAATAAAATGCTACATTTTCCTGATTAGTATTGTACATAGGTTAGGGCTCCTTTAGTAACATCTTTATTTTTAGTTTTTTAGTTGTAAAAAATTTAACAGTATCCAATTAAATAAAAAGATTTTCAGTTTAGGCTATTAATTTTGAAAACTTGTACCCACAACTGATCGATTTCAATTCTTGACATTCATATGTTAATTTTGGTTATTTAAATTTCGGAAACTAAAACTGAAATTGCATCATTACTAAACGTGTGCTTAGCTCTCTATTTCCATGGAATCAAGCCCTTAGCTAGTTATCTCTCTTTTTCACTGTAATAGGAATCATGGAAATCAGTGTTTTTATCTTTTGTTTTAAATGATACAATGTTTTATTTTTTATAACTTGTTTGGTTTGAGACAAAAGGATGGGAGGAAGGAGAATATTCTCTGTTTTGATAACAAAAATCAAAGTGGAGTGGAGGTGCATTCCCTCATTTTACTTTAATTTCTTTTACATTTTAGCGGTATCCAAACAAGGAAAAAAGAGGGGAGGCTTTGTTTTCCTTAAACTAAACAAGGGGTTAATTTTATATTATATTGTTTAGTTGGATTTGAAAATTTACTACTAATTTATGGAAGGCAAGTGAATCCTATCTCTATTTATATACTTGTAGCAAAGAAGGCAGTATCATCTTTCTCATATTTCTAACTCGTGTTTTGTAATGTGTAATCTCCACTACTAGGTGACACTCCCAGCTTGGATGAGCGCATGTTGACTCTTTCTTCCTTTCTAGCATCCTGCAGATGTCTTATTTTGTAGAACTTCATAACTTCCTAGTGTTTTAGAAACACCTTTTATTCATGTTTGACATTATATAAACTTTAATCAATCAAATAATTCTGAAGTCCATCTGTCTCTTAGGGGAAGTCCCATAGGCTTGAACTTGAGTCTTCACGTTGAATGTCTAAAATTTGAAGAGATATTCCCTGTTGTGTAACTCATTAACTGACTTAAAAAAGAAAAAAAAGAGAAAAAAAAACACCATTCCAATCCATCTGGTTAGCAGAAGCAAGGATGGTAGATATCATCTTCATTGGTCGTCGAAATGGCATGGGAAAATTAATTTTACTGTTACTTTACGCAAATCATTGCCCAAAAAAACCTGTCTAATATTCATAAAGTACTGCGCCTCAATAGACTATTCATGACACACGGCAACAAGAATCAAACCCTAAGTTTCTTAACATACTTGCCTAAAAACATAAACCACAAAAATGGTTCTAGTTTGCATTCTGATCAGGAACAGAGACCAATTCATACTCTACTAAAGAAAGATTGTTATCCTCTTTAACCACAAAACCAGCAGGTTCAGTGATTTCCATACGTCCCCATTTATCAACTGCTAGCCTCATTGTTGTCCCTTTGAACATCACAATCTTAGCGTTTCGCAAAATCACAGTAGTGCCCTGCTTCATCAGGTCAACTACATAAAAATATTGATATTAGGAACAAAATCACAATTAAAAACGTCAATGCTACTCTTTGGTACAGTTAGAAAACCAAGCAGAGAGGGAAGCCTAGGATATTACTTTGTTAATTATACATGAAGATCTTCTGAAAGCACATTAAATATCAATCCAATCGACCCACACAAGAAATATACTACATTCATTAAGTTAAACTTTTATAGTAAATCTTCTGATAGTGAGCAATGCCCTTCTCTTCCCTACATCCGTCCCTACCCACCGCAAGGTTCAAACTTAAGGCCTCCAGTTTAAATTCTCAAGCTTTTATCAGTTGAGACACACCCTAAGGGACTCATTCAATCAAAACATAATCCCAAATCAGTTAACTCAAATACAATAAAAAAAAAAAAAAAAAAAAAAAAAAAAAGCAGAAACAATTCTATGCCATATAAAATGAACTTTAGAAATATAACAATCTAAACTGAATTATCCAAAGAACAAAGACAGCAGCAATTTCTATTCTTTTGAGGCACAAAACAAAATCTACCAAGCAAAATGAACACTTAGGCTCCTTCTTATGAATCATCCTCCATCTATCAAACCAATTTTCATCCTCACTTGTATGTGTAAAACCCAGATCAGAATCCTAGGAAAATGAATTGAATAGCAATAAAAAATCCAACACTGAACCAACCTACAAGCAGACTACGAACAGACTATCACCAGCAAAAGAATTAGACTGTGAACCCATAAGCATCAATAGATAGAATGATACCTTGCTCGTTACGGGCGGTGAAAACGATGGTTCCAGTTTCATCGCCGACGACGCACTCGGCGATTCGAGCAGGGGGAGCGGGCCGGGAGAGGAGAGAGCGGCCCTTGTTCGGCTTCTGGGCCGTCTTAACAGTGGTTGTCTCCACAACCTTGACCGTCAAAGTGTGACCACTGGTCCCCGGCTTCAAATCCTCAACCTTGACGAACACTGGTTTCCTCTTAGCAATCGCAGCTCCAGTCGATGTGGTTGTTGCTGTCGCCATTTCAAGAATCTTTCCCTAAAGACTGTCAATTATGGGTACAAATATAAAACACAAGAAGAAAATTAGGGTTTTGGCGATTAGATATTTGGGCCTCGAGTTTGTTGGAGAAGGGAGGGTTAAGTCGATCTCTGACGCGTGTTAATATTTTGTTGGCGTGACGGTCATATCAGTTACTTTTTGGTTACATAAAACCCCAACTCAGGTTCTAAACTCATTGCTTCGATTTCAAACTTTAAGTGTTGAAGTGTAGTGGTTAGAGTTTTGAATTTTACTATCGTTGTGAAGTTTATCAAAATGGTTTGATGATCATGCGTTTCATTTGAGGGGTGAAATATTCACCCGATTCACTTGAAAGGTGGAATGTTCATCTGGTATAGGGATCAAATCTCCAGTTGCTAACAATTAATTCATACTAATTTTTTAATCATTACCTTGACCAAAAAAAAAAAAGTTCTCAACTAATTGTACGGACCTAATTTGGTATTGAATTTAAAAAATCTTTAAATTGATCCTAAAATTTGAAATTTTAGCTTGTTTATCCCTCTATTGAATTTTGGTCGTTAATTCATAGGAGATGCATTACATGTCAAAACTTTTACATATAAGATTCAAGCATGGTTACATGGAAATTAATCCTCTTATTAAGGAATGAAAAATGTATTATACCATCAATGAGATGTTGTCAAAGTTGCCTATCAATAAATTACCATCAAAGTGTTTGTATTATAGATACATTCAACATGGTTTGGCAATATAATGGAAAGCTCACCATTAGATGGGTCTTTGCTAGAAAACAACAAAATATGAGTGATATGAAACTACTTTTAACTTTGAATAAGATAAAATTCTGATGTAAATAATATTGTGAACCTTATTAGTTAGAAATTCTTTTTTTTTTTAATTCGTTCAAAAAAATTTAAAATTAACTATTTTTTATATTTGATTAATCACAAGTCATATAAGTTTGCTAGAAAATGACAAAATATGAGTGATATGACGGTCATATTATTTATTATATTACTTTAGCAACTAATGCACCTATTAAAATGATTATAGTGCATTACTTGCAATGGAGAATGAGATCACAACCACCAAAAAAGCGTTTGCCATAAAAGCAATTACAGAAAAAGTGAATGGGATTTGGTGTAGAGCACATCATCACATTGTCATAGAGTTTCAGGATTTCTCCTTGATATATGACCATTAGATGCTTGGGTCATCAAGGAAATTCAAGTACAATAGGAGGGCTTCCCTTGCAATTTCACCCAAAGTTAATGATCCAATTTTAAAAAATTGAAAGAATTAAGTCCCAGCTGACTCCTTATTGACTTCTGCCTTGGCTTGGCCGAACCCCCAATCTTGGCTCCCCCTTCTCCAATTCAGTTGCTTGAATATATGTATTAATGAAGTCCAAATCTTGTTGAATTGGGAAGATCGCCAACATGATGATTTGAAAATTCTTGATGTAAATTAATGGAGAATCTTGAGGTCCTATACACGTTTCCATGAACGAGATTTGAAAATTCTTGATGTAAATTAATGGAGAATCTTGAGGTCCTATACACGTTTCCATGAACGAGAAGAAAGGATAATTAGCTTAAGCCTTAATCAAATGGAAAATCTACTGAGTCAGCCTTCATCTTTCTGAAAATTTGACAGTTTAGTCCTTTAATTTGTTATTTCTTTCATTTTAGTCCTCACCTACAATAGCAATAAAAACTATATATGTAATATCAGTTCAAATCAAGGCCAAACAACTCAAATATCATAAATCTTAAGACCAAAATGATATGAAAATATATGTAAAAATTAGATCCATTAAGCTTGTCACACTTAAGTTTTGCCAGTTATTAAACAAAATAAAAGGAAAAATAAAATAACACTACAAGAAAGAAGGTCATTCTCTACATTTGTTTCGGTGTTTAAACATAGGTGAAAGGGTTAACAGCAATTGCCAAAACACTACATCAATGCTAATATGGATTGAGCCAATAAATATCTTACTTGCATTTTGTTTGAATTCTTATATAATTGATTTTCCCTTGCATTTATAACAACATGAGTATATCCCTTGAAAAATGAAAGTGACACCCTTCTTAAAAGTCCAAAGGTGCTAGCATATTTGATGCTTTCACCTACATTTTTGTCTC